TAAAAAAGAGTAATAATGTAAATGTAAAGTCTGTGCTGAGCAGGAACATCACACTGATGTTTGTGGAAATGTCTGCATGAATTTGCTGCAATCTTCATAATATGGCGAAGAAGAGTCGTACAAACGTACATATTTAAGGACTTCCTCGATTTTGGTCCGTGTTCGTTCAACTCACGCTTAAGGAGCAGATGGAAATGTGTACCAATCGCAGTTATAAGTACTATTTCTGTGGAGGTGTGTGTCAGGATACAGCTTATGGTACGGTGTACATATGGCGTAGATTCAACACAGAAGTATATGAACCGGGCTTAAGACTCTTATATTTACGATAACAGTTGGGTCAACAAGCTGTCGAACAACTAAAAAGGATGCAGACACTGTGTTAATTCGTGAACCAGAAAATAATTGTAAATTGGAAAGTGAGATTGGAGTTGAGTTGGTTTCAATAACTCAAAATCCTCAACGACAGATGCTCACTTCATTAGAAAGCAGTTGTTAGAGGACACGTGACCTCAGGTTTTTATTTCCAGATACTGCGGCAGTATGATGCCAACATTAGGGGAAGTTTGATGTTGTTCAGGCCCGCACTGTAATGTACAGATAACGACGTGGGTGAGTCGGGTTCAGGTGCAAGTAGACCACATAACACACACAGTAACACACACAAAGTGAAGAGGTGTACCCTTTGAAAAAGGCTGTGTTTTTATTGAAATACAGCAGACATCAACAGGTTGTTTTGCTGACCTGGGCAACAGAAACAGAGCTTGAATACGTTTCAATCAACGTAAAAACAAATATCGATGGCTATTTTTGTCATTAGAAGTCAAAAAACTACAAAGACGCTTTCAACCTGGTGCCCAGACGGAGGAGATGCTGCCTCATTTTGGGCCACAAGCTGATTAACAGAAGCGTCTTCGTCACGTCGGGAACTAAACGAAAAACAAGCCGGTGCTCCACTTTGGGTTCTGACTTAGAGTTTCAAAATGCTGGTATATGAATTCAAAAATCAAGTGCACCTGGAGTTCTGGAGGGAGGAATTGAAACAGTATTCAGGCCTGTTATTGTGCCCAGGGCTGGTTGTTTGATAGTAGCAGTAGTAGAAGAAGCAGAACCTCAGTTATGAAGCAGGGCTGGCCTCAACTCCCCTTAAAAAGACATTTAGTGCACCTGGTTTTCCCAAAAAGAAATTGTCCCCCTGCTCACGTACAGGAGTCAAGTTTGGTTTATTTACTCTCTGGCTCATATTTTTGCTGTCTGATGGAAAAACCAAAGAGGAGGAGACGGCGGACAATTAACAACTAAAATATCTCGTAAAAATGGTCTCCTCGTAAGCAGTTGTTGGTGTGTAGAAACGTCTTTATCAGTCAGTGTTTTAATCTATAGTCCAATCTCGAGGGAAACACGTCTGACTTCAGAGAGCTCTGAGCACCACAATAGCTTTTAATTAAAACACGGCCAAAACAGACCTCCTGACTTGTTTCTTCTGTCTTATTGTCAATGTTTAAAACCTTCTGTAGAGCTGTCTAATCAAACTCGATACTTTAAAAAAAAACTTTCCTTTTTGTCCGGGATGTTTGTTCGTGATTGTAATCTTGCAAACAGATTGTACACCAGTTCCTCACATTGATTTGAAAATGCAGCTTGTGTTCAAGCTTTGCACGAACCCTGTCAGTACCTCCAGCATGTGGATTTGCATTGCAGAAAGTTTGTGTTTGAAACTTGACAGCCCAAACACTTATTTTTGGTTGAATCAACCTTTCACAGTGTGGTTTAAATATCTGGAACTCTTTGTTGATAAGGAAATGCTTTTGTGTAAGTCATGTCTTGATTGACTCGTGCTTTATAAAAATCCTTCTTTAAGCTTCTAAAGTGACAAATTTGAAATCAAAAAACAATCAGAGCTTTCCCCTTTGACTGCTTATACTTCTACATTTTTGTCTGTTTGACATGTCATATGACATTAAAAGTGCGATTTAAAAACTGAAGACAGCTGAAGACTGAGGACGGATAAAGACACCTGAAGATTACTTGTCAACTGAGGATGGATCAGACGAGAAACTTTCGTGGAAGTAAAAACATTTTGTCCACACAACTCTTCAGTTTGTGGCACAAACAACCCTCTGTACAGTCAGCGTTGCCCTTGCTCCGATGTATATTCGTAGCTATAACTGTCGCATTGTTTGAGCTACAAAGAGAAGGACTAAAAATAGTTGACTCCACACCAATGAAAAATGGAGTTGTGTGGACCGAAAAGGAAGTTTTAAGGTTGTAACTAAAGGTTAAAATTCAGGTTACATCAAGATTTCAGAGGGTTAATTGATGGTAAGATGTCAAACTTGGCGAACCATTCTTGGAGAGAAGCAGGTAATAATCGGTTCAGTGCTGTGAGGCGATCGCTGGAAATCTTTTCGGGGAAACCAGGCGCAACAGATACATTTCAAAGTGAGCAGACAGAGCAACTTTAAACGAAGCAAAAGAAAGGACTCGTGCACACTAGTCGTTCTCTATATTCCTGTAGCGAGAACGTCCGAGCCAGCAGAGGTCAACCAAACAGTTTTGTCGCAGTGTGAAAAAATCTACAAGTTTCTGAAAAAGTTAATCCAAAAAACTGTGACCAGACGTTCGCGGCTTCAAGCCTCTGTCGCACCAGAAAGCATCACAGCGCTAAAACCAAACGTGCTGCTAGACTAGCAACCTAAAATCTAACAGGATTACATTAGCTAAACCAAACGATTTCGGATAACCACCAGGAGCCGAAGCTTCCTCTGTTTGAGCGGAAGTAGCCCAGAAATACCAAAACAATCGGCTGTTTTTGAAAGTTGAATTTGATGGAAGATTTTCTTTGCCACTACGAACGAATCCACTAAAATTAAATGAAAATAAACTGATTTCTCTGCGACATTTTGCGCCATGTAACAAATATTTAAAGATTAAATTAGACTGTGATGCCATTTAGTCAGATTATCTGTCACAGTTTCTGGAGAAATCAAACTTCTTTTCTCCTGCAGTTTCCTTCCAGGAAGAAGTAAACTTATGGCTGACTAGGTTTTAGAGAACAAGACATCCGACTGATTTTAATTTCTGGCTGTTAGAACGACTCGACTCCTCTGTGGTTCTAGTGTGCTCGACTCTTTCCTCTTCAAACATTCAGACAGTAAACCCACAACATTTACTTAACTCCTCAAAGCAAATACATTCAATCATTCATCAGAAAAATATTCAATTAAAACTATACACTTGCAAAAATAAAAGTCTCTTGGAAGCTTTCTAAGGCTGTGCGTCCACCAGGAGTCTCTGTTTACAGCGCTGCTTCTTTTTAGGGATTTTTTTTTTTTTTTTTGCAGAAAGACGTGCAGCAACGAGACTTCAGTGATGCCGAACGCTACAAGTTTAAAAAACTATGAAGACTTTAAGCGAAAGAACGAGCATTTCGATCGACTCAAACCGGCGGGCGGAGCTCCGAGCAGGACGCCTCCGACCGCCGCCGATCAGACACCCAGTGGACGGAGTTGAAAACCCTTCCCCCTGTTGTTGTGTTGTTTGTTTGTTGAGGCCAGCCCTGGTTTGCATTTGTAAATACAGTATTTCAGATATATGTAGTCTTATCATCTTTAAATCTGACCAGGACACTACAGCGGCAGAAGCAATACATAAAGAAGCTCATATTTTGTTTTTACTATTATTCTTTTTTGTCGGAATGGAACTAGTTTCAACTAAGCCTACCAAGCCAACATGTAGTTATGTATTGAATAAAAGGCTATTTATCTTTTTTTTTTTGTTTGTTTTTGTTTATTACAGGTGTGTATGATGGTGTGCAGGACGACAAAGAGAGAGGGAGAGAGAGGGAGAGGAAAAAAACAACAAAGACAGAAGAAAGGGAAGAAAGACGAGAGAGACACAAAGAAAGGATGAAAAGTAAGAGACAAAGTGATAGAGCGAGGAAGAGAAACAGAGAGAAAAAGAGAGAGAGATATTATGATTCAGGCAGCATGATTCTGGATTGTGGGTTTTTACTGTCGAGGGTGCGTGTTGTGTGATCGTTACCGTTGAATCCTTCTGCGCTTCGCCACCATTTTAACAGTTTCTTCACTGCTTTTTTTGTTGTTGTTGTTGTAGTTTTTTTCATGTTGTTTGTTTGTTTGTTCCGTTTTAAACAAAAAAAACCAAAAAAAAATCCACGACAGTCACTTGGTCATACAAGCATGTTCGTCGGAACAAGAAGTGCAGATTGGCTTAAGTTTCTTTCTTTTTTTTGTCTGTGTGTTTTTTTTTTCCTTTGCTTTTCTTCAAAAAAGGGTTCCAGACAGAGTGGCTACAATAATAATAATAATAATAATAATAATAATAATAATAATAATAATAGCACTTGACTTCACTTCAGCACAGTAAAAAAAAAAAAAAAAAAGGTCCAAAGGTGATTTTTTTTTGTTTTGTTTTTTAAAATCTGATTTGATGTGAAGCGAAGTCCCCCCCCCTCCTCTTCCTCCCTCCCTCCCCCCCCTCCTCCTCCTCCATCCTCCTCCCACCTCTCCTCTCCTCTCAGCAGGGAAGTGGCGGGCGGAAGTCCAGTGCCGGTGAGATGAAGAAGAAGTGACTGAAGTATTGCCAACTGGTCCGTCTTTTTTTCCTTTTTTTTTCTGTAGTGGTTCCACTCTGGTTCAGTACAAAAACAGAAAGAGAGACGGAGAAAGAAAAGAAAAAAAACGTTGCACACACACACACACACACACACACACACACACCTACACACACACACACACATACATATATACCACTGCTGCCACCGTTTTTTTTTCTTTTTAAAGTCCATCAAAAAAAAAAAAAAAGAGCCGAGAGAAACCGAGAGAGAGGGGGTTGAAAAACAAAAAAACAAGGAGGGTTTCGGGGGACGAATTGCTCCCATTTTACAAAACGTAACAAAATTTTTTCCGCAAAATTTTTACAAATCTGTAGCAATACAGGAACAAAACAAAACAAAACAAACAAACATATATATCCTATTTACAACAAGAAGAAGAAGAAGAACCCTTTTTTTTTTTAAAGTGTAGTGAGAATGCAGCAGATCCCAGCTTTGGCACTCGGCGATTTTGTTTGTTGTGTTTTTTTTTTTGTGTTTGTTTGTTTGTTTTAAATCCACCCTGTCTGTCGGTCGATCGGTCACTGTGTACAGTCAGACTGCTGCTGCAGGCACACATTCAGTGCTCCGGTTCACCCTCCTCCTCCTCCTCCTCCTCCTCCCGTCTCCACGGCAACACAGGTCATGCACAACATCACCTCAGCCGCAAACATCCGTCGGTCCGTCCGTCTGAGTTCACAACCTGCTAATTCCCCTCTCACGAGACAGACGCTGCTTCCTTTAGAGCGACTGTAAGGAAGAGTTCAGGGGTTTCAGGAATTTAAAGTGCTGATTGTGAAACTGGTTTCGTCTTAAAGGGAAAGTTCAGAGTCGTTCAGGTCCAGGATGTTGACAAAACCGAGCTTCCTTCTGAGGGGAGGGTTTAGAAATCTTTTTGATCATCAATACAAGTCCCACTTAAAGGGAATGTTGGCGCTTTTTAAAGGGAAGGTCTGTGATGTTAACAAATCCTCCACTTAAAGGGAAATAATCGAGACTTGAAGGTACTAATCAAACCTCTTCTTTAAAAGGTTATATATAAGATTACATCTGCCTGTGTTGTATCGCAGCCTCTCTGTGGTTTGTTTTATAAATCCAGTCTGGACGTGCGTGCGACTCGGTGTAAAAGCGACTGAAACTGCTTTTGATTTCGATTGTTGGAACAGCGGAAAGACTAACAGAGACGGTTTTGGTGAGTTTTGTTTCTGTCCACGTGGACTGAAGTTACGATGTTACGATGGAGTCTGGAGGAGAGTGATTGTGATATTACGGCTGTTACAAAAAGCTCTTTTAGCTAACGTAGTCTGATTGTAGGATTGTAGCATTGTAGCCCGTTTCATTTAGTTTACGATTATCTGCTGGATAAAACAAGAGTTTTGTCGATGGAGTCTGGCCGGCTGCAGCGCCCATTGTCTTGGTCCGAGATGCTGGTGCTCTACTGCGACACCTAGTGGCAGTGAATTTCATTAAGATAACCTTTAAAGGGTAGATTATGCTCTAAAGTAAAGAGTCAATTCAAATTTAGTGCAAATTTTAACAAAATTTCACATGAAATCGTGATGGAAATGTCTGTTTCTAAGTCTGTTTCCACTGCACTTCATCGCATTTTGCTTTTCCACCTCAGCCAAGTATAAAAAAGTTCTTCAATATTTTCCCAGATTTTTTACGCTCTGGGTAAATAGTTGCATAAAAACGTGGATGGAAACAGACTTTAAGATACCAGTTAACCCTCCTGTTACAGGTAAGGTGTAATATTTAAACAAATCAACATTTCTGATCATTAAAAAAGCCTTTACTTATTTATTTTTATTTAAAAGTGGAACTTGGCTCCAGGCTAAAAGTGTTTTCGCTGTCCTCTGAGGTTGAAAGTGTCAATCCTGTTTAACCTCTGACCACACAGACCAAAGCACGTCTTAGCAGGAAGGTTCAGTCGAGGAATTAATTATATTAACTATTCATACAGCCGGCCAAAGTACCGATTACTAACCAACACTGTGTCCCAGTTTCATATTACATACTAATTTTTGACTAATTCTGGATTATTTCACATATTCCCATTGGAAAAATTACAAAAAGAAGTTCATTTAAAATTAAAATGGTTCAGTTTTGACTCCGGTTGGTGTTCAAGGGCACGATCGTCCCACAATGCAACAGAAATAGAGGAGCTCCTGTTGCCAGAATAAAGTGAACTATGGTCATTCACATATTTTATCTCATAAAGTGAAAATGATGCTGTGATTGGCTGCTAGTCAGTCCAACTTCCTCAGTTGTTACATGATGGGAAAGTTCAGGGCCGACAGCATTATTGATGGCAAATTCTACTCTTTTTGCTGTGAACTGAGTCGCCATGGTTTGGGAAACACTGGGCTACAGGCTATATTAGGTGGCCATGTTGCATTGTGGGTAACATAAGCACCAGGTTTTGACAAGGAAGATGATGTGTGGAATAAAAAAAAAACGATATCTCTGGTTCAGGTTGTTGTAGTGTTCTCGTATGTTCTATGAAACTGGGAACAAGAGGAAATGTTCAGTATTTAAAACGTAATCAAACTTAAAGGGGGGGTTGATGTTATTTTTCTGACCAACCGTTTTGTGTCTGAATCTGCTGCGAAAGGCTTCTTGTTAAATCACAGGAAAGATCAGGACTAACAGCATTACTGTTTGCTGATTGACCTCTTAAAGAAGTGTCAAAAAAAATTCCACCTTAAAAGGAAGCTTCAGGAAGTTGAGAACGGCTTCGATCACTAACTGTGATTGTTTACAGCTCCTCGCCTATAAGCTGAATCTGTAGAGATTTGTATTGTAATACTGCTAAAACTCACGATACTGTGAGAAATCAAAGGGAAGCAGCAATTTGAGATTCACTGTGAGGGAGGCCAATTTCAATTATCTTCACAGATCGTGACCCTGAATTTCTCCTTGCACTCTTCTGATTTCCATTTGGAAGCCTGTTTACGCCTCGCCAAAATAAAATCTGCCACCGCGGAGCCCTCGACTTATTTATACTCATCTTTTTATTGTGAGCGTCGCATCTGTGGAGGGGGTCACCACAGGTCGAGACCCTGATGAGACGAGGAGGATGTTGTGCGTGACCTGGGATGCGACAATCACGAGATAAAAATTGGTAAAAAATAAAAGAGGAAAAAAAAAAATTATACAATATCTGATCATTAAAAAACTCTTCTTTTGTTGCTCCATTCTCCTTCCACCTCGTTTTCTTTCCTCCTGTATGTTTCCAGCAGCAGCGGTGGCGGCGGCGGCAAATCCTATTCGCACCTGAAATGGACAGAGAGTGAGAGAGGAGGGGGGAGGGAGAAAGAGGGAGGGGGGAATGCATTAAAAACTGTTTCCCGGCACAAGAGAAATGTCAGTTTCACAAGAACTCAGATCATTCCCAGCAAAAAAAAAAAAAATAGAGTAAATAAAAAAAACCAAAAACAAAAGAGAGGGGGATTAAAAAGCAATTGTTGTGCCAGGAGCCGGTGTTCCTGGTCGCCTGGTGCTGCTGGGAACTGGGACACATTGTGAAATAACGGCTTTCTCATCGACGGCGGACCTGACCGGCCCGCGCTCTCTCTCCTAATCCATGTAAGAGGGAAACTGTGTTAAAAGTTGTGTTTTGTGTGGGAGCGAATAAACGAGGCAGAAACAGGACAATGGATGCTAACACACACACACACACACACACAATATGAATTCCATATTTCTGTTCCTGTTACATACAAACCACCGTGAGTTTTTACATAGCGTCTTGGACCTTTTTCTCCACTGCAGACCGAAGAAGGCCTTCATTCTTTATCTAGCAGTATATCTGATCAGATTTCAGTAAGGAGCCTCACTGCTTTAATTCAATGCATTTCAATCAGCATCGACAGTAAGCTCGGAGGAAATGTTTACGGGACCTCTTGGGTAATTAAAGCAGTAATTCAATATTTTTAATACTAACAGTGTGGAAATAGTGAACCTGCAGATAGACAGACGAGGTTGACCCCCCACTCTCTGAGGAATTCTCCCTTCTGTGTGGAGATACAGGTCCTCCAGGGTCAAAAGCACAAGTTTACCCCAATCCACATTTCCAATTTCACCTTGAGGGGGACAACAAAGATCTTAAGTGAACTGTGGGGACCTGAATCTGCAGCTCCCTCAGGTTTTACAGCGCTTTAGGCTCACATACACGAATGACCGTTGTTCACTAATGCTTAACTCCACCCAAAGCTGAATCTGCGTTTACTCGCATAGAATGGAAGTAAACCAGGAGGGGAATCTTTGCTCATGTCGATTTCAGGTATGTGACCATACCCCCATATCTGTCTGAGCTCATTGGTTAACTGTCCGGACACAACTTTACTCTTACAGGTCACTCTCAACGCTCTCATGGAGTCGGTTTTTAGTTGGTGGAGACCAAAACCAGAGCTAAAAGAGAGAGAATATTAGCGAACCCTGTAACTGCTGGATGTGTCAGTTAGCAACTGTTTTGGTTAAAATACCCTTCCAACCCAACAGCCTCCATATGGAGACTGTCTCGCGCTGTATACTACGTCACCTGACTTCAACGGCACATCAAAACAATATGGCAGACGTCCCAGTTTGACCAAGCTGCCACATTACGGGAGGACATTTTCACATCACTAATCCCATCAGTACGCCAACAGGGTCGCTCTGGTTTCAACTCTCTAACAGAAATATTGTTTTCATTCACTGCTTATTTCCTACTCATCACTGGTAAACTGCTGTCAATGAACCTCAACACTTCCTGCAGATGTTTCAAATCAAAAGCCTTCCAGGAAAAGGAAGTATTACGCCCTTTCAGTCCCTGGGAGTCTTTGAAGGACGTGTTTAGTGACACATTATAATGAAGGTTTGGCAAAAATCCAATAAGGAAGACCTTTTTTCTCACATTCTGCCTTCATTGCTGTGTTTCTGCTACATATTTCTTCCTGTTCTAATCTTCTAAGTCACTTTGCTTTCCAACGCAGTCAAAGTCTTCAAATTCACGAATTCTTCAAACATATCTGACTGATGACGTTTCTACCTGCGATCCTCGAGAGAGAGAGAGAGTTCATTTGCAGTCAGTTTGAGAATCAAAGCCGAACTCACTGTTGATATTTTGAAACTCCGCAGTGATGAAATCATCGGCTCCAAGTTAAAGAGAAAAATGAACCATCTCTGCTCAGCTGGACGAGCTGTGAACAGCTGTTCGATCAGCTGTACACTCAGATACTGTTACACAACAGCCTTTCATTACCCTCACATACACAAACAGCAGAATATACACGATGTGGAAGTCTAAAACCAGAAACTTACATAATATTTGCCCAGATTTCCAAACTTTTCAACAACCTGAGGTATTTCATGCAAACATTTGGGTGGCTCAAACGTCACCTGAAAAACCAGACCACATATCTAAAAACAGATAGAAGATACAAAACAGACAACAAAAAGAATTCCTTAAAAAATCGAATTAGTTTACTACTGTTAGCTAACAGCTTCCTGCTCGTTGGACCAACCTTTCCATCAGTGCACCGCTCACAACTAAACATAAACTCAATCTCAATCATCTTTCTCCCAATAAAGCCTCGGCTGCCGAGTGCCAACATTAATGCTTCAACCTACACTTAAATGTTAAATGTCAGGAGTGGATTAAACTGTGTGGAAACCCTCATAGTCAGTACCATCCCTAAGGACTCCTGCATCAGATCAATGTGGCTTACATTTAAAATTCAGTTGGTCAAAATGGTAAATCTGAATTAAATAAGTCGCCCTATTGTTGACAGAAAGTTGCACAGTAACGGCGAGGTTGGGTGGGTGTTTAGGATCGGCCAACAGCACCAACAAAATAAAAAAAGGTTGTGAAAAAGTTTGGCAGGAAAACCAGATGGTTTTATGTGTCAATTAACAAAGTTGTCTCTACTAAAGACGTCTTCAGTCCTGATTGTTAGTTTCTTAGCAACAACACATTAACATGTTTTAATAAAATTTGCAAGAAGGTTTGTGGATGTGCCGGTCCAAAGGATGTAACATTGTATGAAAGGCTCGTTCCCCCAGTTGATGGAAAAAGCCTATGTGTGTATTTTTACCTCTGCCAGGTGCTGTTTGTCTGCAGGATTAAAAAAATCTCTGGGTGGATTTTTATAAAACTTGTTGGAAAGGAAGAACTCATAAAATTTTGAATGAATCTGAATCACGGGGCGGATGCATTCTTTATTTTTCTCTTTCCATTAATGTTACGAGGTCAGATCAATTGTAAGATCTATAGCAAACGCGTCATAATGACAGTGAATGGTGACTACAGCAAAATCAGCATATCATCAGGATTAATCCAGATGTTGTAATTTAAGTGAACAGGGTTCAGATTTGAGTATCATAGAAGACCGGACTATTGGCCTCAGTAGAGTGGCTGCGCTCTCCGAGTGACTTCCTAGTTTAGTACACTTATTAAAGTGTATTAAATTTAAATGTCAAGGTTTGCGCAGCCTTGAAGGAAGTGTGAGCTCTCTCTCCGTGCTTTTCTGGTGTAAAGTATTGATCTTTCTGCTATTTGATTGCACTACACTGTCATTACAGGTGGGTAATATACAGGTTTGAAGTAACATTACTGCAGCTTTTGATGACGATGCTCCAAAAATATGTTTCTGGCTGCAAAAGAAAAAGATTATTTTAAGATCGTGGTGACCTGGAAGCAGGTAACATTCAGTATGTCTGCTGCCTCTGTGTTTTACATTATAATGATGACAGCGAGGGAGAAGCACTGCAGCATTTTGGCAATTAAGGCTTCATCTATAAGCTACGACTGTTGATAAGTTATTATGGGACGCTGTGCCGCGCTCTGCTGATTAAATGAAGCCCCGAGCTGCTGTGATTAGTGAGACAGGACAATGGATGACACAGACACACACACACACATACAAACACCATTAACACACACACACACACACACACACACACACAGAGAGACAAGCTGGAGACATCGTACCACATCAATTTGCGCTGCAGGAATTTGTTTTTGCTACATCAATCGTTACGGCTCTTTAATATAATCTGCGCGACACTGTCACTCTTTATCCTGCTTTATTAGTATAATATTGCTGCTGCGACCTTCGACCCCTAACCTGACCCACCCCACCTTAAAGAAAACACGCTTGAAGATAGACAGACATCCTGGTACCTCACTTTAAAGGGGTTTAATCTTCCTGTCTGCACAGAGAGCAAACAGGTCGGTCTGGTCCATTACGTCTTATTGTTGACTATATAAGTCTGGGGCAAACCAGTACACAGGGACCCTGACCAGCCCATTATCCTTACCTTTCAGGGGCTGTAACAGCTAGTGCAGCGAAGATACTCAGTCGGGAAGGGGACTAAATAACGCTCCACAGTTGAGCTAAATGTTGGCGATAGAAAAACTGACATTTTCTCAAGATATCTGAATGAAAATGGGTCCTATGGGAACCCACGAGTCTCCCCTCTGCAGGTTTTGGGCAAAAACCATGCAGTATTTTGCATGTGGCATAAATGTGTTAGTTTAGTATATTTAAATAAATTTCTGAATACTGGAGTCCATAAACTGTGTTGGAATTGCAGAAATTGGGAATGACTGGAAAGCAGAGACACATTACTTACTGCCACCCCTGCATAAGCCAGCGCTCCACTTGTGCCACCCCTGTAAAAAAAAAAAGTCTGGAAGCACCCCTGCTCGTACAGTGTCTGCCAGGCTTTAACTAACACACTAAAAACAAGCCTCATTTTTAGAGGATTTAACATATTTCAACCATTTCATCCATATTTTTTCACACAGCCACTATTTATTTTATGATTTATCTGCTCCGTTTATCAAATATGTCCTATCACTTCCCTCTATTTTATATGTTTTTCGCAGCCGCCTCCAGGTAATGAATTTCAGTGCTGCTATTCTTAATATTCTCAACAGATATTTGTCTCTTTTATTTATCATTTACCTTGGCCTTCTCCTCAAAGTTATGATTAATACAGAATAATATCAGGGGATGTATATTTCATTTTGATAATGTTTAATGGTAGAATAACGATTTCACTGAGTTAATGGATGAAGTTTTCTTTAATTCCAGTTATGAGAGCTGAATATGAAATGATATTTTTATTGTTATGACAGGAGACTGATTAGTATCCACCGCCGCTTTTCTTGTTTATCAGTAATTTTATGTTGTTTTTAAACTTTTCATCATACCAGGATTATTTAATTATTTTGTACTGGTGATTGTTTAAAGCTGCACTAACCAATATTGTTATATTAACAATGGATC